GCAGATCCTGTGTGACAAACCTGCTCTACTGTCTGGAACACTGGACTAGGGCTGTTGATAGAGGAGATATGGTGCATGTCATCTTTATCGACTTTAAAAAGGCCTTCGATAGTGTGCCTCACCACCGCCTTCTATACAAACTTAGCCGTGTAGGAGTGCGAGGTAAGCTTCTGATGTGGATCCGGAGCTTTTTAATCGGCCGCTCTCAAGCCGTCCATGTCAGTGACCAACAATCTGCCGAGGTTGCCGTTAGGAGTGGTGTTCCTCAAGGCTCTGTTCTTGGCCCTACACTGTTCCTCGTATACGTCAATGACTGCGTAAACGAACTGAATTGCGATGTCGCAATGCTCGCCGATGACATGAAGATCTGGAGTACCATACGAAGCGAAGTTGACGAGGCGCGACTGCAGACAAATCTGGACAACCTCGAGCAATGGTCGAAAGACTGCCTTCTACCGTTCAATGTAAAAAAGTGTAATTTCCTACGCGTCGGCAGAACAAGTACTCCTAACCACACGGTCTACCGTCTGACTGGCAAACCACTGCAAGTAGTCGACGCCCAGAAGGACTTGGGTGTATGGATCACAACCTCGCTTAAGCCTTCGCTGCAATTCTCAAAGGTAGCCACGTCGGCGATGTCCATTCTATACCTCGTCAAACGGGCGTCTCCTCCTTTGATGAAGACTGTTTCGCCAAGGTCTTTCAAACTTTCGTGCGACCGCACCTGGAGTTTGCTATCCAAGCATGGAGACACTGGACCGCTAAAGACTTGGGCATACTCGAAAAAGTTCAACGGGGAGCAACGAAACTTGTATCTGGGCAGTGGTCACTATCCTACGAAACACAATTAGCTAATCTTGACCTCTTTCCTTTGAGTTACAGACAGCTACGTGGGGACCTGATACAAGCTTTCCGCATCGTGCGCAATCAGGGCTGCTGCCTCGCGTTTGGATACTTCTTCGAGTTGGCGACTACAACCAACTTGAGAGGCCATCCACTCAAACTGCGTGGGACTGGTGCCCGGCTAGACACCCGAAAGTTCTTCTTCCCCAACAGAGTGGTTGCAGCTTGGAATGCCTTGCCTGAGGATGTTGTTATGCCGGGATCCGTAGACACTTTTAAGCGGAGGCTAGATCAACATTGGAGCGCGCACCAAAATAACGCCGGACTACAGCCACCTTGATAACCAACGTATACAATTTAGTGTTGTGACGATGCTACTACCAACATTCAAGTAACATGTGTTTATGTAATTTATTAACCTTGGACCACGTCGCACACCGCTGCTCGCATTCTCCACGATGCCCGTAGGCTAAACAATTTTACTTCTTTTCCCGTGTCTTAAGTGTGCCTCAACTGTCCACTGTATTTGATCGACAAAGCAAGTTAATGTGCCTCTAAATTCTGTTAACGCATGACATTCTGTGCTCATCTGTACAGTTTTTGCTATTCCTCTCGCATTTCTTTCATGTTACTTCCTTTCCATTTCCTCCATATATATCCTCTGCATGTAACCAATAGGGATTTCAAAGGTATACACCTACTTTCCCTGAAATATACTGATAACACGGCACCCGCGCAGGGTTTGTTGCCCACTCGGTCTAACATCAAAAATGTGTCAGATGCAGTAGAGCTCATAGTGGCTAACCTGGAAACTAGCTACGTGAGACAGCAAGTTTCTACGCCTTTTCATCGAATAACGTGTACTGCCCATCAGTTAGACCAGGACAAACGATCCTTTGCCGTCTACCACAGGATTTGCAGATTGTCTCACTAAGTGAAAGGACCTAAACTGTCAATCGGAGTGGGCGGCTGCATAACGACAATGTAGGGATCAAGTATCGTCAGTTACCATAATTCTGACTGCATCGGGGTGCGAAAAATTCCAAATTGCTGTTGAAATAATTGCTGCGTTTTGACGAAGGGCCGCAAGTCAGCTCAATTCAGTTTTTCTTTCGGTATATCTTATTCACCGTCAGAAGCGTAACGACGATATTAACGCCGTCTAGTCATAAATACATTATGAGCTTAAAAAAAGACACGGAATATCAGAGTTCTGAAGTCCCATTTTCGAGAAATCCTAATTCCGTTGTTCACTGATCCCAGACTTCATGCCTGATGGTCACAGATGTGTACTCAACGCATGAAACTGTACACACCGTCATTTCGGACTAACATTTGTCCTAAATATTAAGGTAGTTGTTGGCTGTATGTGGGAGGGGCGAGGGAGTGTCCTGGAGCTTCAGTCAAGTTTTAACTCCTGGGCGTTACTATTCTGAAGGTATGGAGGAAAAAACAGACTTCTCAGTAATGCTTACATTGATAGTAACCTGCCGATGCCTAATAACACAACTATAACAGTTATCATTTATATACCTAGAGATAGCATTGAGGATCACAACACTTTTAAGGAAAGCTTATTTTGCGTGTGTACTCGCAACAGACATATCTCACCTAACGTAGGAGGAGAATGTTCTAATTTCAGAAGGTTCCCTAGAACAGGAAATAACACTTTGTCTGGCAAGATATACGAGATCAGCATCTGCGAGCGTATGTTGTTCTGACCGAAGGGCATGCCAGTCTTGGTCCTGCAAGGTCCGAGTTGCGACACCATGACATACTCGACAATGATGCCCATCCATCTTGACTAGCATCGACCGAAATCCGCCCAATTTATATACAGCCTATTATAGTACTTTGTAAGTGTTAGTAACATTTATTGATGGTATGCATTGTGCAGGTTTTCGGAACATGCGTTATCATGGCAGGTGGAAAAACTTGTCAAGGAATTCGAGAATTTCTGATGGCGTAAATCCGCTAAAATGTCCTTCACAACAGCTCTCGAGTAAGCCACAGCCTGACTGGTCTTCTAACCGATCCGGGACAGGACTGCATGAAGGGGCTTTCAGCTGAAGCGAGGTCCCAGTGCACGTCGCTTCACACAACTCATAAGTGCTGGAGGTAGGGAGGGAAAAAAACAGACATCTTAGTAATGATTACATTGATAGTAGCCTGCCGAAGCTTAAGAACACAAATACTACTGTTATCATTAATATTCCTAGAGAGAGCACTGAAAATCACAACACTTTAAAGGGAAGCTTATTTTGCGTGTGTATTCTTAATACGCGTATCTGATCTAGCTTAGCAGGACAGGGCTTTAATTTCAGAAGTGCCCTAAAACACTTTGTCTGGCAAAATATACGAGATCAGCATTTGCGAGCGTTTGATGCTTTGACCGGAGGACACGTCGATCTTGGTCCTGCAAGGTCCGAGATGCGACACCATAACAGACACGGCAATGATCCTAATCCATGTTGACTCTACCATCGACTGAAATCCGATTAATAAATATACAGCTCATTATAGTACTGTGTAAGTGTTAGTAACATTTATTGATTATATGCATAATGCAGGCTTTCGGAACATGAGGCATCATGTTAGGTGAACAAATTGGCCTAGGAAGTCGATAATTTCTGACCATGTAAATCCGCTAGAATGCCCTTCACATCAGCTCTCGACTAAGCTACAGCCTGACCAGTCATCTAACTGATCCGGGACAAGGCTGCATGAAGGGGCTTTCAGCTGAAGCCAGGTCCCAGTGCACGTCGCTTCATACAACACATAAGTGCTGGACACACAAAACCCCGGCATTAATGACAACTGAAATCGATGCGGATTTTACCAATAACTTAAAAACAGTGGACCTACCAAATAGTGCTCTAGGGCAGTTGACATGTTTTTCCCAATGTGGCTGTGAACATGGTCGCCCATATGCAGGCTCGCAAGCCACAGCATTCCTTCAAATCCAGTTAATCTGCCCTGTGAATTGTCCCGCTATCTTCCCTACCTTTCTACTAATGCTGGTTCTTCCACCGACGCACAATCTCTTCCTACCTAATTTCGGAGTGGACAGTTCGACAATCGGTTTCGATGATGGCACCGTGTGCCCCACAGTTGCAGCAGCAATGGGGGCAGGGACGGTGACTTACACAGGGGTTTATAGTGCCGGTAGACTTGCGTAGCATCTACCTACACTCTCTCCTCCTCCCCCGCCTGGGCCCGGTGTCAAGACAGAGTCAAGAAGACCGGAGACGAAGATGGCCGCAGGTGAATGGCTCGGACGGATCCTCACCTTGGCGTTCCACCACACCCCCTGGTCCACACAACAAATAACCAGGATTTCAACCAACACAACAAGGATTTGGAGGCTGGCACGGCCGAAGCCGCACCTAGGTGTGCCGCCAACGCCTGGCTCGGATCCCACACTGTGGTGGGAGTGCCATAAAGGCCCCATTAAAAAGGAGTCATTGCAGCCTGACTCTCAGGCCCCCTCCAGTCGACGAGGAGGAGGTCCAAGTTACCCCGTCAGTTGGCAATCTTCCAAGCCACGGCTTTTAGCGCACCGTGATAGCTTCAAGCGCGTCAGATTGTTTATAGTGAGGAGGAAGTACGCTGAGTCATCGACCTCACTCTCCCTTCCCAATCCCACACCCCACCCGCTGTCCGAGCCGGTCAGCAGACTGGAGTGGGGAATGGGCGCGGTGGCTGTCATGGTCGACTGACCATGACTGCGCGCGCCACGGCACGACCTGGCCCCCCATGCACACAACACCAGGATTTCACACAACGGGGGTTGAACGGCGTGTCTCTCACTTGCGTGAGAGTGCCGTGGAAGGTGCTGTTTCAGCCCGTCCCCAGCCCACCAGTCCGCCACTACACACAACACACACACATAACGCGACGACCTGCGTGAACCGAGAGCGGGCGTCAACCAGCAACCTTCCTATCCACGACGCTTGACGTGTCGGGATAGTCTCGGACTCAAGTCACCCGTGCAGCCGAAGCCGCATGGGGACCGAGTCGAGATGCGGACTTCCCACTTGCGTGGGAGGTGGCAGTTGGGTACATGAGGTGTGTGAGTATTGATTTCTGGTGGGGTGATGGTGGTGGTGGTGGAGGAGGTAGGGAGTGAGTGAATGTGTGGTGTGACCGGCGGTTGTCTACCGCAGGTCGTCGTGGATGCGCATGTGGCCGAAGAGACCCAAGCGATGCCTGAAAGTGCGAGGGCAGTGTGGGCAGTTGAGACGAGCTTGGTGGATATAGGTTGGTGCTCCAGGCACTGGTTCGCCAGTCTCTGTGCGATGGATTCGCAAGTGACCGACCAGGCCGATGCGTGCGGTGAATGTGCGTGGACAGTGTGGGCATGAGAAGTCGGCGGTGTCAGTGTCAGCTACGAAGGAGGCGGTGGTGGTGTCGCGGACGGATGGAACAAGGGTGGTGTTGTACACGGTGGATGTGTTGGATGTGGTGGGTGTGTCGGGAGTGCGGTCAAGGCCGCTCTCGTGGATGCGCATGTGGCCGAAAAGGCCCATGCGATGCCTGAAGGTGCGAGGGCAGTGTGGGCAGTGGAGGCGAGTGCGGTGGGTGTAGGTTGGTGTTTCACGCACTGGTTCGCCAGTCTCTGTGCGATGGATTCGCAAGTGACCGACCAGGCCGATGTGTGAGGTGAAGGTACAATCGCTGTGAGGGCAGGTGTAGTCCTGATCCTCATCGCTGGAGTCGGGGGAGGTGGTGGTAGTGTCGGTTGCTGTGCGCGGGACAGTCGCCTGAGCGGCCGCCGTTGGAGCAGTGGGCGAGGCGGAGGAGGAGGGGGAGGAGGAGGAGGATGATGGAAGTGGTGGGTCAGAAGAATTGTCAGGGTTAGTTGGCGGCGGAGAGGAGGAGGAAGAGGCGGGCGGGGGACGATGGTTGGTGCCGTTCGAGAGGCGCAGTTAATCCGAAGATGTCCAACAAGTCCGATTCGAGCCCGGAATGTCCGTTGACATCGAGGACACGTTGGAAGCGGTTGTGCGGCGGCGTTGCTTACTGGGCGAAGTTGTGATATGCGGGCTTCACGTTTCGCTTTGGCGGCAGCGATGCGGTTGGTTTCGTAGATCGCAGCGCCTGTCTTCACTGTCCTCCTCCAGGTCGGTCGATCGAGTGCGAACTCCTCCCAGTTGGTGGAGTTGATTTGCAGGCATTTCAGGGAGGACTTCAGGGTATCCTTGTAACGGCGAATCTGGCCTCCTTGACGGCGAGAACCCGTCGCGACGTCTCCGTAGAAGAGTCGTTTGGGTAGTCGTTCGTCGTCCATGCGCACCAGGTGGCCGCTCCAGCGCAGCTAAATTTGCCTCAATATGGCGTAGATGCTGAGGATTCCCGTCCGTTCCAGCACATCAGTGTCGGGGATTCGATCCTGCCACTTCGGCCTCAGGATGCGACGAAGGCAACTGAGGTGGAAGTGGTTCAGACGACGTGCCTGCTTTGCGTACACCGTCCATGTCTCCGCTCCATACAGTACTGTCGGCAGGATGACGGCCTTGTACATCTTCAGCTTCGTGCTCAGTTAAAGACCGTGGCGATTCCAAACTGTGCTTTGGAGGCGACCGAAGGCTTGACTGGCTTTCGAGATCCTTTTGGCGACTTCGTCATCGATCTTGGTGTTGCGGGAGAGGGTACTGCCCAGGTACGGGAAGTTCTCCACCACTTGCAGTTGGGTTCCGTTCACGTTGATTTGCGGCGGCGCGTTGGGGGCTGTGGCTGAGTTGGGTGGCGGTTGGTGCATCACCACCGTCTTCTGCGTGTTAATGACCAGACCGAAGTTCTCGCAGGCGGCGGAGAACAGGTCCATGCTCCGTTGCATCTCCTCTTCCGAGGTGGTGTTTAGGGTGCAGTCGTCGGCGAAGAGGAGTTCGTGAACGGTGGTTGTGGATACGCGCGATTGGAAGTGCATCCGCCGTTGATTCAGGAGGTGACCGTCCGTCCTGTAGGCGATGCGGATTCCAGGGCGTTCGTCGCGGTAGGCGTCCATCAGCATGGCAGAGAACATAAGAATGAAGAGGGTAGGCGCCAGTACGCAGCCCTGCTTCACTCCATTGGTCACTGCGAATGCCTCTGAGACAGCTCCGTTGTCCGTGACTCGCGCCATCATACCGTCGTGCAGCTGACGCACCATCTGAGTGAATCGCTCCGGACAGCCGAATTTCAGCATGACCTTCCACAGTCCTTCACGCTTCACAGTTTCGAAGGCTTTCGTCAGGTCCACGAAGGTAGAGTACAGGTGGGTCTGCATCTCCTGACACTTCTTCTGAAGTTGACGGGCGGCGAAGATCATATCCGTGGTCTCACGATGACGACGGCAGCCGCATTGGCTTTCCGGCAGAAGGCCCTATTCCAGGTGATTATTGAGGCGGTTGAGAAGGATGCGGACGAAGATCTTCCCGGCGATGTTCAGCAGGCAGATGCCGCGGTGATTGTCGCAGACTTGGCGATTCCCTTTGCGCTTGTAGAGATGCACGATGGTTGCGTCTTTGAAATCTTGCGGGACTTCACCTTGACGCCACATCTCTTGGAAGAGCGCAGTCAGGTGATCCATCAGTTGGGGACCTCCGTGCTTGTAGACCTCAGCAGGGATTGCGTCCGATCCGGGTGCTTTCCCACTGGAAAGCTGCTGCACAGCCCTGATGGTCTCCTGGAGAGATGGCGGGAGGTCGAGGTCCACGTTGGTCTCCACTTGCGGCAAACGCTCGATGGCGGCGTCGGAGATGACGGAGGGGCGGTTGAGGACGCCTCGGAAATGCTCGGCCCATCGCTGCAGGATTTGTGTCTTCTCAGTCAGGAGAGTGTTGCCGTCGGCGCTGAGGAGAGGAGAAGTGCCCTTCGTCGGCGGACCGTAGACAGCTTTGATCGCAGAGAAGATGTTCTTCCATTCGTTGCGGTCCGCGTACCCTTGGATCTCCTCAGCTTTGCGAGCAGTCCAGGCGTCCTGCATCTCGCGCAGTCGTTGCTGAAGTTGGCGGCGACTGCGGTAGAAGGCAGCTTTGGTGGCATCAGTGGGGTGCTCTACGTAGGCTTTGTGTAGGCGGTTCTTCTCAGCTAGCAGATTTCGGATGGCGGCGTCGTTGTCGTCGAACCAGTCCTGGTGTTGGCGGGGAGCGCGACCGAGGACGGCGAGCGCCGTCGACTGGACCGTGTCTCGCAGTTGACACCAGCTGTTCTCCACGGAGGCGTTCTCGGCAGCGGCGGCATCGGCGATGGGGAGTTTGTCTAGCCCTTGAGCTAGCTCATTGCTGAAATGAAGATGGTGAGCGGGCAAAGACAACAAGACAACATTCAGCTTACCTGGGGGTCGCTTACCTTGTGGTCTCCTGCGAGGCTGTAGGCGAATACGCATCTTCGAGATGACGAGGCGATGGTCGGTCCACCCGTCAGCACCCGCGATCGCCTTCGTCATCAGCACGTCCCGCTGATCTCGCCTCGGGACGAGGACATAGTCCAGCAGGTGCCACTGACTCGACCGAGGATGCCTCCAGGTGGCCTTCTCTCGCTCCGGCAGACAGAATAACGTGTTCGTCAGGATGAGGCGGTGTTCTGCGCAGGTGCGGAGGAGAAGCAGGCCGTTGTCGTTGGAGCCGCGAAGACCGTGGGGACCCAGCACTCCTCTCCAGGCAGTATGGTCTGTGCCGACGCGGGCGTTGAAGTCGCCAAGGACAACCAACTTGTCCGCCTTCGGCACAGTCGCCAAGAGGGCGTGCAGGTCCTCGTAGAATTTGTCTCTGACGGCGTCGGGGTTGGTCATCGTCGGAGCGTAGGCACTGATGATGGTGGCGAATTTGCCTCCCCAGAGAGGCATACGAAGGCTCATCAGGCGATCGTTGATTCCCTGCGTCAAACAGGGCAGTCGTCCCACGATGTCGTTCCGAATGGCGAAGGCGACACCCGCGTCCCGTCGCTCTGCCCTGGGTCGACCACTCCAGAAGAAGGTGTAGCCGGCACCCACCTCCTCCAGTTAGCCTTGTTCGGAGAATCGGGTCTCGCTGAGTGCGGCGATGTCCACCTTGTAGCTCGCCAGTTCTCGTGCCACTAGCGCCGTCCTCCGTTCCGGTCGGTTGCTCCTCGGATTGTCTAAAAGGGAACGAGCATTCTAGGCTGCTAGAGTGTGCGGGCTCACCCTGCCAGTCTGGCGACTGCGGCAGCGAAAAGTAGGAGTAGGAGAAGAAGAAGAATAGGCTGGAAGAGGAAGAGAGTGATTGTTGTTGTTGTTGTTGTTGTTTTGGTTTTGGCTGTTTCGACCGTGTGTTTTTTGTCTGCAGCCACGGCCAGCCTACAGACAGCGTGATTCCCAGCGATCTTTAGGGCACCTTTTCTAGCCCCCTCCCCCTCGCGAGGGCAGACAACTCATCCCTGAACAGGGCTGCCCGGTTATCCCAGACGGCTGCCGGACTCCACTATGGGCCACGACTTTTTGTTAGTGAGAGAACGACCCGAATTAACCTGGGACCTTGGTGGTGATAGTGATGTGAGGGAGTGAAGTAGGAGAGAGCATACACACAACCTAACGCTATGGGACTTACAGCTAGCTAGGGTGGACAAGTGGACACAGTCATCAGTCAGAGACAAGTGAGGGCACCACTCAAGTGTCAAGCACCGTAACACCTAGCTATTAGCAGAGAGAGAGGCATAGACTGACAGACAGACAGTCGCAGCAGGCATCAAGAGTTTCATCTAGATAATAACAGACAGACTAACTAACATATAGAGGGCAGGCAACAAGAGCAGCAGACAACACAGAACTTCAACAGACACAAGGAAGAAGCAAAGTAAATTCACTTACCTGAGGAAGAACTTACCTGCTGGCCGCCTACGATGGTCCAGGCAGAGCCTCGTCTCGACGATGTCGACGCGAAGATCCATCCGGCCAGCGCAGACCACAGTACCGCGCGTGCAGGTGCACGCACGGATACCCTCACCTGGTTTAGCCCGCCGATCGAGACGGTTGCCCGGGGTGTGGCCGCTGAGCAGAGCCCAGCTACGTGGAGCCATAGGTGAGAGTTAGTTGCCAGCAAATGGACGCTAGGCGTAGTCTTACCTGCAAGCAAGTGAGCGACCACTACGACCATCACGTGAACCCACCGCTGACACCCCTACACCCCAATTTCGGAGTAACCAACAACTCTACGACCTCATTGATTACTGAAATTTCCTGATGGTGGTCAGGTCAAAAGCCGCATTTGTCAAGCTCAGGGATTTTCCATAACCTATGACCAAGGGTCGTGCAAACCTGAAAAACGAGATTCTGCAGAACACTGATGGGCTGACTGCATATATGAAACAGGTAGCTTTACATGGCCTCAGCTTCCACGAAGGCGAATAATCTGTATAGTTACATGGTAGATACGATAAATAAACGTTACTGGCACTTACAAAGGAGCATCGAAGACTGTAAATTTGATAATGTGTCTCTGGTCTAACGCAGGGTGAAAAGTGCGCAACGATGATTTTGACCAGATTTAAGTCTCCATCGGATGCATTCGTAAAGTGCGAAGGAACATATTAAGGGTCAGGCGACAACACATTGACATGAAAATCTATAATAGATAGTGGAAAAGGTCGGAGACTACGTAGCTTAGCATTGTCTTCCTTGTAGACCTTCATTTTACTTTGTTAAACCATTTTACGAAGGGACTAAGCAGACACAGTTAAAGACTGGTTGTAAACAATGATATCCATTGGGTAGATTGATAAACTCTGACATTAAAACCGCTTCATAATACGATCTGCAGCTGAACAGACCGTTACTAGTACGAGGCCTTGAGATGTTTGCATGCAGTTTCATCCCGACAAAGCCACTTCAGTCTCCTGGGAGCCTGTGACCATCCGCATTTTGCAAATAAAAGTGTCCTAAGTGCTTATGTTAGGAGAAATAGATGGGGAAGCTTTCTGCCTCCTTCATTGTCATATTCATTGTGATTTCAAATATATTTGCTTTCACACCTGTCCATGCCGACCTGGTGTCTGTGCACTTCTGGAAGCATTGCACTCAAGAGACTTGACCAAAAGTATTTCAATGACACTCGAGTAGACAGGGTCACTGAATTATGGTTGTCGTAGCCATAAGCACAGAGCGCAGTCGAATGTGTGCATGAAAGCAGGACGACTTTTACAGAGCGTCCCGCCTGTCACAATTGGGACAGGATAAATACTTATGCAGTTTGCGACGGTTTCATTGATGTTCCACGCCTGTGCGAATTCAATTGTGTATTTTACATGATGCAGTGATTTAACGCCTCAGACAGGGGTTCGTAAGAATGAAGAAGTTTCGCTCTCTCCTGTGTAAGGGCGCCCAAATTTCTTAGATGTGTGTTCTGTCATGAAACCGTTATCGCCGATTTCAAGGAATTCATGTCCCTGATTTCTGGTGTTGTTCTTACGTCAGCCAGATGTTCTGTTGTCGCTTAAAATTATTTTCATTTCTGTTTGTATTTTCTGCGGTCTCATTTTCGTCCATAATAGCCTATTGGCATGAAATGTCAAAGGGTCGTTTGCGTATGCCTGCTTATGCAGTCGCGTGTTTGCGAGGCGTGACTGATCATTCACATGGATTCTCTTGTCGTAATTCTGTTAGAGCTTACCCCATCCACTCTCCTCCACATCCTCATCCCTCTGCTCATCGTCTTTCACTCCGCTCCCCATCATCATCATCATCATCATCATCATCATCATCATCATCATCATCATCATCATCATCATCATCATCATCATCATCATCATCATCATCATCATCATCATCATCATCACCACCACCACCACCACCACCACCACCACCACCACCACCATCATCATCATCATCATCATCATCATCATCATCATCAGCATCATCATCATCATCATCATCCTCGTCCTACTTTTTCTGTATACCCATGTCCTTTACTTGCTCTCCATACACTACATTTTGTCTTCTCCTGTAACGATTGCCACCGATGATGCCGATCGACAGTTTCGAGGGAGGGAGGAGACAGAACTTCCCTAGCCAAAGTCCTGCGTCTGCATCTTGTTTATCGTAAAACCAATTGCCTTACATGACCAGCGTCTCGATAATGACGCGTTCCGAAGGCCCTCAATTTGAATATAATTAATAAATGTTACTTACACGTACAAAGTAGTATAATACGATGTATATTAATTAACCGAAGTTCAGTCGATGGTTGAGTCAAGATGGATAATGAAAATTTTGACCAGAGTTACTCGTTCATTGAACGCTTTCACAAACCAACAGGGGGCATGCTATTGACCAGGCGTCAACGCGTGCAGATGACAGTCCAAAACTCCAAACAGACATTTCTTGAGGATAAAACTGGAAGTCACAGAGGTTAACAGCTTCCTTATTATTTGCCTTACCTAGAGTCGTTCATTGCAGTCAAATAAAATACTCAACACAGGAAAACTAAATTGGGAAATTACATGACAGAAGGTCACAAGCACGTCGTCATCAATCAAAAATTTAGTTTGGGCAATCGGAGAACTGACATTTTTTTCTGAGACAGAGAATGGCAGTCTCCAAATTCGTACGTGAGACGAAATACTAGGAACGTTAGAATGACTTCCAACTCCTGCGTCAGCACTTTGGCCGTCTTAGAGTCACTCAAATTATCTGCCCGTTTTACCACTATTGATAGGCGCACAAGAGTGTTATGCGCGACACAACCTGCACGATTTCCACCCCAACTATACGGGTGATAGGGTCTGGCGTAACGGACGGCTATGAACGGGCCTGGCACAGGAACGCGAAGAAAGTGTAATCAAATGTGCTTATTGGTCCTAATCGTCGCATGTTATCAGGGCTGATAGACAATGAGGTATCTGAAGTTATAGCGATCAGGAACATCGAATGCGTGCAAAAACTGGGCAAATGTGTTATACGTAGCAGCTTCACCAAACAGATTGTATTCAGCACAGGAGAGGAAAGAGGAATGTAACCAACTGCCGTCCCTCCTCGGATGTAGGAACAAGAACGTACTATAACCATGACATTTTGATACAAGATAACATAGGCGACAAGTCACAGGTACCCAAGAATTGGCTTGATCAAATTATCCAATTGAAAGCTACTGTTAGCACGGACGGGAGACGCCTGTAACTCGGATGTGAGAACTCTCTTGAAATGAACAAATCGCGAGGATTAATGCTCGCAGAACACTATGTAGTGAACATGTGGTATTCCACAACTTTCACTTCAGGACATGGTTGGCAGGTAATGGTCGCTCTACCTCATATGGCAGAATAAAACCTGAGGATACTTTGTGAGGCATTCATTGGAAGACAGCGCGACACAGTATTTGCATGGGATTATGCGCGTTGAAGTCACCACGTTCTGAAGTTCCCTGCGCACATGGTTAAACTAACAAGTAGGGATTGCACACTTCCATCTAGTTGCGTTACTGACCGCCCTATGTGGGGAGACCTAGCGTTTGATGCAGCGTCTGTACTACACCAACAATTATTGCTAAATTTTACATAGTAGCATAAGTAACTTTCATACTCCATAAACCACTTATCCAGGCGATAATTACAACTGTCGCATGTTGATTGCTACGTACGAAGTGAAAAGAAGAAGCATCCTATCGCACCATATGGGACTATCACATTATCCACAATCCGCTTCGACATAACGACCACTAGATGCAGTCGTTGGACTGTCCCCCACAAACATGGGGTAAATTTATTTGTATGTCTTTTCCCAAAAAACTATTTCGAAGTAAACTGATCTAGGAAAGTGTCCTAAAACTGGCGTTAGCAGTTGGAATGCTGAAAGGAAACCAGCCGGCATTTGCGGGCGTTTGATTTATCAATCGGTGTTCGTGTAAAACTCGATCCCACGAAGGCCAGCTTGGCAAGAGTTTCCTGTCGAGAACGACGGACGACGTGGATCTTGCAGTTGATCAAGATCTTGTCTCTCACGCACGACCTGATTTGGCGAACTGTGAACCGGTTAATTCGCGGCTGATCTCGAATAATACAGTGGATGGCGTTGGTCCCGCATTTGGTCTACCTAATACAACCTCATTTGGCGGACAACGGAACGCCTTTCTCGCGGCCACCCTCAAATATTTTGAAGCAGCAGTTGCGACCATGCAGAAAAATTCCATTGCACGCGATAGGCAGCCGATCTGGCAGATTCTCAACTTGTAAGGGGCCATCACTCTGGACGTTACTGTGGCATCACGAATGTTGCTCTCAGTCAGCACAGTGTCACCCTTCATCTGCACGATCCTGAGATCTTAAAGTGGTGTACGAGAAGTGTGAATGGAACGCACGCCTGACAAATTCAAGACTAACAGGAAACATCCTCCGGTAAGATACTTTTCGTACACGGTAGTGTAAGTGGTCTTCTGGCCGGCTGGGAGGCTTTGCCTGTGTAACGCGACTTACTTTGTCGGGGGCCAACTCTATCGGCAAGAGCATTCCCCTGAGCAGTAACAGTGGCTAAGGCCTATCATGTCCACATTGTTGAAATAAATATTACTATGTATTTGCTAGTAGCATGACAGACTTTCTCATTTTAAGAAGGCTAACGACCGTTTAAACTAAACGACATGACTCTGACATCGAATTAGATGTGGCGTGCGATGTTCAAGTTTCTAGCACACTCCTGGCTGACATCCACCTGAATTATGGATAAGAACTGGTTGATCCTTTTATTCAAGATCCTTGAGGGACCTGCATCGGGACTGCATGCACATTACTTGGAACAAAATCCTTACTTATTAAAAGGAAAACGAGTGCGCGATCACCTTTGGAGTGCATAAATGCTTATACGTTGTAGCACTCAAAGAGTATTTGATGATGTAATCTTGTTTGTGTTTGAAAGAGAAAGTCGGCAAAGCTACCGTCCCAGCGACCGTGGCTTTGTCTTCTTTTGAATAAGAACCTGGGATGCACTTTTACTTGTTTCCGAAGTGGCCGTCAAAATGAGCTTATTCACTTTTGCCGAAAAGATAATATGTTTTAACGCATTGCTGTTAATTCTTTTCTCGAATGTAAGGATTTCTAGTTGGTTGGAAAGGTGACGGTGACGGTAACGGAACGATTAAATACTGCAGACACAGCGTCTCGTAAATTGCTTTATCGAATAGTTGAACCTAGCTGGCCGAAGTCCAAGACGGGGCTGTGTAAGAAGGTTTTAAGGTGAACGCGGACTGTGATTCAGGCTCGGGTACTTTGTTCCTAAAAAACCTACGCCCTGCGCATATGTTGAACCTGCCTATAAAAATGAATCACAACTCTAAGTCATTTAGTCAATTTTTTTATGATTTTATTGCCGACGGTGTCAGTGATAAGCACTGCAGGGCAGACATTCTCCACTGTCTTTGCCAAGAAAGTTGCAGGAATCTTCCGGCCAACTTGTTGAGCGAAAAGCCGAAAGGCGACGTACCTTTACCGAAGGGACGATACTGAGACTTCTGTAGCGAAACAGCAGAGAGAATAAGTGCTCTGAGCGTAACAATTATCAAGTCAAATCCCAGATTGGAAGGAGAAGACAGAAGGCACCAGAATGAGGAGTTTATTGCGCACAGAACCTGGAGTTGTCCTCTCAGGCGACAGTGGCCACTGGCGAAGCCAGGGCTGGTGTTGACTGCGTCCAGTCAGGCCTGAGATTCCCTGAGACAGTGGTGGCAGCCGCTTTTGTAGGCTCGTGGGCCAAACTGAAGTGGTCTCCAATCGGTGTGTGTTGAATTTGCCGAGGGGTGGAGTCCCAGTGGCTTAGTTTGTGGTTGCAAGGGGTGGGGTGCGTTCAAGTGACCGCTGCGGTTGTGCGGATGCAAGTGTGTTCGCGCTGAAGTCGGTCAAGTGGCTTCAGTTCAGCGCGTCTAGGACGGCTCGCTGCAAGGGGTGAATGACCTTGAGGCAACGAGGTCCCGAACAATGACGCCAGACCAGCCACGATGGCTGCCCACTTCACTTCCACGAGCTGCAGTTTGTCTTGAAACGAACGGGTCTTTGAGCGAGCATACTAGTAGAAAATACTAGGAAAATGAAGTTGAGAAAGGAGATGGCGATGTGATGATTCCAAGTGAATTCTATATTCTTCGAGTTATCAAGATTCGAGTTATCTTCCAACCCTACGTGTGACAGTCACACAGAAAACAAGATTATGACTTAAGCACTGAATCTTACGCGGATGCAATTAAATTCCATAGAAAGGGTGCAGGACACTGCAAGTCTTCCAATTATTTTTTATATGAGATCCCTTCTCCAAATTTTTTACCCGAATTGAGAGATTAATTGGACTGAACAAATACGCATTCCAAGGATTTCGCCAGTTAAGATTTAATAAAACCGTCTCAGAACATAGTACCTTATTCAACCATGCTCCCCCGCCTGACCCAATGGTGCATCTTCAGATATATTAAATTATTAATAAATCAAAAGGCTTTAAAATGTGAATTGGCCGGTTAGATCGGTCTCGTGTCATTATCGCTAACTGGGTCGTCAAAACTGCGGTTGGTCTGCGGTCCTCAGGTTGACCAACTTCTTCTCTGGTACACGGACGCATGTCTGACGCTTTTATTTGCCGCTGAGCACCGTTAACTAAGCAGGGATTCAGAACTCGACCCCAGCACAAGGGAGGAGAGAATATGTGTCAAAATATACGAATGTTTGAATAATTATTTCAATATAGTAGCAAATGGTAAAGACTGCACAGCTGAGATTACAAAAAATTGCATTGGAGTATAACCCCACGCCAACTCGAACAGGGCAAAAAACCCATTACTTCTCGTAGCTATTGGCTACCCGGAACGAAATTACACCTTCATTTTTGTTGCCATGCTTATAATTTAACAGGCGATCAGCGGAACAACGCAATGATGGTGATTGAGGCGTGCCAATCAAATCATGCATCGATGAACAGGCGCATCGAACTCGTGTCCACATATTAGGCGTTAGGAGATCAAGCCGAAGGTTGTAAAACAGTCACAGATGTGACTATTGCTGCAAACATCGAGAAATCCTGCAAGCGAGCTGTTTGGCTGTTGAAAGACTTCGACTGCTTGGTCATTTTACGTTCTCATATCTCCCAAAATAAACGAGGACACCGGTTCAAACACTCCTCGGAATAAAATATCGTTGCCGGTGATTGGACATTCTACTATGGCAGAGCATAAGACAGTCTTTTGTTTTCCTGACTCAGATGAGATGATCCGCTCATTCACTACTTCATCTGATAGGCAAGGACGGTCTGCCAATTCAGACTTCAGCAGCACGCGCATATTTTCTGATTGGTTCCTGTGCAGCAGGTTAGATAATTCAAACGACATAACGTTTTCACAGATGCATGCGTGAACTCATAGCACTTGACGTACAACGTGTGACCAAACTCATGAAATCTCATGACAGAAATGGAAACAATCACTTTTGGGCAAATTAAATTCCGCACATTTTTCACGTTTGCCAAGCCGCTTTAGGGAAATGCCATTTCTGCATGCACTATGCTCGTAAATAATCTTATCGGTCAATATGTTTGCCAATTTGAGCGGAAATCTCCGTTGTTTTGTATTCTGTAGGTTTTTTAGGCTAATACCTGTCTTAGACCATATTTGTGCGCCCACGGTTTTTTTTACGAGAAGAGTGTTCTCCTAATATGCTTGAAATTGTAAGCTGACGGTTGTATCTGATAATTCTGTCTAAATTTATCATTATTGACTGGCCTATCAACATGTAATCTTATGAAAATTTTTATTTCTGTGACGCCCCTATCTTCGAAATCGGGCGGAAACCTGTTTGTCTTAGCCAACGCATTTCAATCAGAATAAACAACGGAAAAAGTGCAGCAACTTCTCATGAAACCATTTTGGAATCCAGACTCACAGCGACAGCTCTTGGGTAAATACCATACTTGACATTCCACTTACTCATGAAGAATATTTAAGTGCAGACACTATTCTCCTTGTGCTGTTTTACTTACTCGTTTTTTGCCTGGACAAGCTCTATGCAAATCAAAAACTTAGGTTTACTCAGTGACAGCGCTTTTTGACGTATTCGAAATTTTCCGCCTTTGTACAAGGTTATTATTTCTATACAGTGTTTTTAGTTTTCAATTTGCTTGATGTCGCTAGTAGTTATTTTAAAGCTTTGATCCATTCTTTTGTGTCGGTTTGCGAGTGATTAGCAATCCTTCGCAAATGCCGACAGCCTTCAGAGGGTAAGTCACATGCTGTAGTTAGGTCAGGAACAGGTTCACGTGATAAACTAACTTAGCCTGGCACACTTTCGAGAACAAGCGGATGTTAGGAAGACTTTCGCAGTGGCCTAAAGAGTGTCCGCAAACTGACCAAAGCTACTACGGTAACGCGGGTTCTTAAGACCGAAGTAGACATTCTATACCATGGTGAAAGACACCTATATAAGACTTACCACTACCGTAACTCAAATAAGTACTGACCATTCCGCCGCCTGAAAAAGGTGGACATACCGAATATTATTCCACGGCAGCCGACATGCCATGTCCACTCCCCCGCGCTTTTTCCAGTGTGGCTGTGGACATGGGCGTCAATATTCAGCTTTGCAGCCCACAGCATTCCCCCACATCCAATTATCCTCCCCTGTAAATCGCCCCGAGATCTTTCCTACGCTTCTTTCACCACCTAATCCAGCCTGATTACGGAGTGACCAACAACTCTACGGCTTCATTGATTAATGAAAAGTCCTGATGGTGGTCAATCAAAAGACCGAATTTGTCAAAATCAGGGCTTTTCCACAACCTATGCACTAGGGTACTCCAGACCCGAAAAGTGAGATACTGCAGAACGCTGATGCGCTGATTGCTTTTATGGAACGGTTCGCTTCATATGGCCTTAACTTCATCCATGGGGGAAGGTCTGCACATCTGCATTTCACATGCAATAAATAAATGTTACTGGCGCTTGTCGAGTAGTATGCGATACCGAAAGTTTCATACAATGTCTTCGGTCCAACGAAGGGTGAAAATGCCTGTTCGATAAGCCTATATTGTGCAGTCAGTCAATGAATGCTACTAACATCTACCAAGTGGTGCATCGGACCGCGCGTTTATTAAACTGATTTCTGTCTGGGACGATATCAGGATAGACTATAGTAATGTTGACCAGACCTAAACGTCCACCGAACGTCGTCGTAAACCAGAAAGGGGCACGTTACTGACCTGGCGAAAACTCGTGCAGACGGCAGTCCAAAACCGTAAACAGGCATTCCGTAAGCACAAAACTGGAAGTCACAGAGGGGGGCAGCGTCCTTACCACTTGCCTTTCTGGCAGCCGTTCAACTAAGTTCAGTCGCTTGACTCAAGTCTCGACCGCCATAGACAAAAAGGGCTGTAGTAAATAGCATCCATCGATCAGATTTATGAGCGTCGATATGAAGAAGTTTTCGAAATACAATCGGCAGGTCAGCAGGCCGTTCATGGTATACACCCTTCGAAAGTTTGT